TGTTAGCCCCATTACATAATCGTCATCATTGAGTAAAAGCGGCGGTTGAAAGAAGGCTTTTAAAATAGATGTCGTACCAGTAAATGTCAATGTATAAGACATTGTCGTTTGACAATAATAATGTAACTAACGCAATCAGTGTGCGTTATTGTATAAAAATCGTAGCACTAAATGTCCACAATTAAAAGAATTAGGAAGTTGTATGTGATCGTAATTGTATTTAATAATGTTCCTGCTACCATCGCTTCGAAAATAGCGCACTAGCTCGTGGGGTGGTTTTACCCGTCCTATGCTATCAAAATAGGAAATACGTGTGCCAAGCTTAACATACGCTGTCCAATGTGTACCGTCGTTATTTTCATCGTCTAGGTTTACGATACCGCATTCGTCCCGATTTATTTTCTTCGGTAAGGTATTCCGCATAAAAATACCTCTAAAATGTTGTATTCCTAAATTGTTGACATATTTCGACAAATCCAAGTCTGTTAACGGACGGCGTGGTAGCTTCACTGGAAGTTTTTTTGATAGGGGTTTAAATAAAGGCCTAATCCTGTCTTGTACGGTTTTAAGTATAAACCTTTTCCTATCGCGGCGGCCTCCATCACTTCATTATGACGTTTGCTCTCCTCCAATTGTTTGGCGGCATTCCTCGTGCCATTTACTGCTCTAGCAATAGCCGCCGCTCCTCCTCCTAACGAACCAGCGGCTCCCAGTGCAGCAAACAATGGAATTAACGGTATGAATCCGCCAGTCTTAGGTATGGGTAAAATGCGCTGTTTTGGCGGTTTGACCTTTTTCTTCTTTAACGCGTTAACAGCTCGTCGAACAGTTGTATTCAGATCGTAGTGAACGTTACCACCAGTATACTTTCTAGCTAGTTGAACGCCTTTGTTAAACGAAATTGTTGCTGTGTTTCTTCTTCTTTTTTTGATGGTACGTCGTCGCGTACCCATGCCCAACGTTCTTTTACCTTTCATAATGCCTGCAACGGTAAGGGCGGCTGCTTTTTCGCCAAAAGTGGCGTTTCTCGAACGAAACCTCTCCCACGCAGCTTTTTGTAAATTTTTATCGGCCTCGTGGCGGTCACTGATATTGCTAGACCTTGAATATGCTATATCGTGATCTCTGCACGCTTCGTCTAACGGATTTATACCTCGATCACCGCGAGCCAATCGCTTGCTTAGACGAGTGCCAGGTCCGCAGAATTGGTATCCGGGCAGATGCAATTCAACTGGCAGGTTATTTATTAAATTGTTAATAAGACCTTTCCCCGTTTTAGACGTTATTCTTCTTTTCTTAACGTTAGAGTGAAAGTTCATGCTCGCTGGTTGACAGGCAACTACTGAGCTCCTAAGCATATACGGACTTATATAGTAGGTTTCAGTGTTTTATACACTTCCAGTAGAGCAATGGCCTCCATACGCTTCAAACCGCAAGAAACGGCACTACCTATAAAAAATTACGACGCGTGTTCGAGAGATAAACGAGTTTCAAAACACAGTAGCCTGTTACAGGGTGGTTGCAAACGTGGCATCATTGTAGGTAGATCAGGTTGTGGTAAAACGAATGTTATGATTGCATTATTAGAACAATCCAACGGTTTACGCTTTGAAAATGTATACGTGTATTGTAAATCGCTGCCGCAACCGAAATACCAATATCTGCGTCAGTTGTTGTCCCCAATTAAGGAAATTGGGTATTTTGAATATACTGACAGTGCAGACATCGTCCCACCTAACCTCGCACGTAGCAACTCGGTAATGATTTTCGATGACGTTGCTTGCCATAAGCAAAACGAGATTAGAGAACATTTCTGTTTTGGTAGACATAAAAATAACGATTGTTTTTATTTATGTCAAACGTATTCGGCCATCCCCAATCAGTTAATTCGAGACAATGCTAATCTAATTGTGTTGTTTCAACAGGATCAAACTAATTTAAAACACGTGCACGAAGATCACGTGAATGTCGATATGCCATTTGATCGCTTTAAGGAAATGTGCGTGAGGTGCTGGAATGATAAATATGGATTCTTAGTTATCGATAAAGAAAGTGACATGAACTCGGGTCGATATAGGAAAGGTTTTGATTGTTACATTTTAATATAAATATCGATGTTTCATATGGAAAAAATGCAGTCAATATGAAACAGCGTTTAATAGAAGTCCTCCTTGATGCCAGAAAATCTGTTAAACATAAATACATATCCTTAAAGCGTGATTTTGCGCTGGCAGAACGTAAATCCGAGCAACATCTTAAACCCATTACACAACCGCTGAAGCAACTACTTACTAAAGCTACACCTCAGAATTTTAAACGTGAAAATATTAAACATGATAGTGCCGACGTGACCTCATCTACAGAGACCCTACTTCGGACCCCTCTAAAAGCGTCTACTGCTCAACGAATCCCTAAAACCCTTTTTTCGGAACACGAGGAACAACCGAGCTTTTTAGACACGAGCGTGATTGCCGACACCACTCGCGATGATGAAACGCCAACTCTAGATGAATTAAGAGCTGAGCTCTCGCGGGCTGGCGACCATCCATCTTTTACGGAATTCTTAGATCAATACGATGGATTGGCGAAGATTTATGTGGAGCAGATGTTCAGATCTACAGAGAATGAATTTGATCATCGATATGGTGTACGATACATCCCGGAAGCCAATAAATTCTACGTTGGAGATTCCGAGTTGGACTTTGACAAACAAGATTTGGTTCTCAAACTTCCTACAGGAGACACAGTAGCATATAACGGAACTCCTGGTTTATACGAGCTACTGTTTAAGAGGCAACCTCTTGGGTACAAAACCGCAGATGAGAATAACTATCGTGACATATTGCTCCGCACTAATGCAACACGACGTCATTACAATCCAAATGAACAAATTCAAGGCACCGGAAAAAAGTACAGCAGCATCATTAAACCACTTTTTAGTACCCGTGTATCAGTTCCCAGAACTTCCTCTGTTAGCATAAGGAAAGGGAAAGGTATTCAAATGTTACAATTAAACAACAAGCGAATAGAATTTATGCCCTGGAGCAACCCCAACAAATTAGTTAACTGGCTGCGGGTTTTTTTATTGGGATCTCAATCCGCAGGGAACACGAACAATCACAATGAAATCATATACATCATAGATGAATTGCGGAATGCTGAAATAATAAAGTAATTTAGTTGGTAATGTGTTCTTAATAAATAAATAGTGAGATTGTATCTTTAATCGATCAGTTTGAAGCAAAGATGAGTATTGACAAGTTCGGTAAACACATTCTAAATCAATCAAAAGCTGAAGAGGTGTCTTCTTATACGTATGAGTCATACTTGTATCTGTTGTGAACGCACGCCGAGAATACGCCGTTCATACGTTGGCACACCTCGAGTAGAACACCACAAGCGTTTGCATTTCCTCTAACGGAATGTGTTGTAATTAAGAGTTCCTGGTCACCGCGCCATGGAACTACTATTATTATAAACGAACGTTTGTACAATACTCCGTTGAAGTTAATAGGGATAACACTACGTAAAGGTGACATAATCAAAGCCAAATGTCCGAAGTATAATGCAGGGCAGTTATTTTGCTTGGAACTACTATTACAATCACGTCTCAGGAAATGAGTAAAGTACAGCTAGTGGAAGAATTACATAAACCTGCAAGAAGGAACTTTCCTAGGCGGCACGTAATTATTAAAGGACTAAATGACCTATTCCAATCTGATTTGGTGGAAAGGATACCTTATGCGCCAATGAACAAAGGTTTCCGTTACATTTTGGTGGTTATAAACACATTTTCTAAATTTGTTTGGGCGTACCCTATAAAACGAAAAAATGGAAAACTGGTGGCAGATGTTATGAATAAACTTTTATCGGGACTTAAAACGACCCCGAAACATTTACAAACAGATATGGGAAAGGAATTTTATAACAAGGATTTTGGAGATGTAATGAAGAAATTCAATGTTAATCATTATAGTAGCTATTCTACCCTAAAAAGCTCTATTGTTGAGCGCGTTAACAGAACGCTTAAGTCAATTATGTTCAAGAAATTCAGCTTACAGGGTTCCTACAAGTGGCTATCACTTTTACCTCAAATAGTTGACAAATACAATTCAACTAAACATCGAACTACGGGATATAAACCTATCGATGTTAACGAGAAGAACGCCTCAAGTATTTTGAAGAGAGTTTACAGTCATATAAATGTGATTAACCCAAAACCACCTAAATTTAAAGTGGACGATTCTGTGAGAATTAGTAAATACAGAACCGTTTTCGCAAAAGGTTACACGCCAAATTGGACTTACGAGACATTCACAGTTGCTAAAGTGAAACGTTCAAATCCTACGACATATATACTAAAAGATAGTACAAATCAAGAAATAAAAGGAAGATTTTACGAACAAGAATTACAAAAAGCGCAGTACCCCGACATCCACTTGGTTGAGCGAGTAATTCGAAGAAAGGGCCAGAAATCCTTAGTGAAGTGGTTAGGATTTGACAGTTCTCACAATTCTTGGGTATTAAATAAAGATATTCTATAAATTTTGGCATTTCAAAGCTGTACTTCAAGTAAGATGTGTTTAGAAGACGGCGCAGCTGATTATACCAACTTTGAAGATCGACTCCTATCATTTCATTCATGGGTAGGAGTTCCATCGGCAGTTGAACTTGCTAATGCTGGATTTTTCTACACGCATAGCGGCGATACGGTGGAATGCTTTTATTGTAAAGTGCGCATTAATAAGTGGGAGGCCTCCGATGTACCCTTAGCTGAGCACCTTCGTTGGTCGTCACGTTGCAGATATGCAAGATTATTAAATCGTATGGCCTGCTTGAAGATTAATGAAACAGAGAAGACCTACTGCGTTTGTGGTTGTAGTCCGGGCGCTCATCTTATTTAATAAAACAATGCGATTTTTTTTTTATTGTAATTATGGCACATGGTATTGTAAACATTTTAAATAAACATTTTAAATAACTTAGCTTGTTATTGATGATTACAAAGAATTAAGAAAATCTTCCAAATTTTGAATTGCGTTAATATCGCGATGTCCCCATGCCAATGTTCTGCAGGTGCCAGGGATAATGTATCTTTTGTCGTCCGTTGATGATAAGGCTATTTTGTTTGTCATTTCTGTGTACATGGTGTGCAAGTGAGATCGAAAACCGCTCATCTGCTTCATAATCACGCCACCTTCTTCGACTACTTTCTTATAATCTTCCTCTTTTAAGCCGTTCTTTATTACATACTTTTTTACCCCTTTAGCTTTCTTATCTACACGATCACCTACATTGACACAGTATGACTTTGCACCTGCACCGTAAAAACTAGCGATGGGGACACCGCAATATTCATCTTTCATCTTCCCCACAACTGAAATGTTGCGTGGAATACCGTGTACATTATCAAGGGGAAATTTAGATGTGTCATATCTATCCAAATATAATTTCATGTCATCATAGAAATTATTAGTAAAAATCTCCAATATAAGGGAATCGGTGTCTGTATACAACAAAGATACTTTATCTTGATATAATGGTTTTAGAAAATCGTAAAAGAACTCGTACATAACTGTTTTGGATAAATCTAAAATTGAAAAACCAACATACACCGGTTTGTTGTACTTTACGGATACTTTGGACATTTCAATTGCCACGAGATTTTCAGAGAACACCGATAAATTTTTAAAATTTGGTTTAGATATGTGGCCCTCAGCTCCAGGCTTCTTACCGATCCTCTCCCAGTGACTTACAAGTGCAACGTTAACTCGTTTGTCAACGTTTTCCATAGTTTTACCATAAATGCTGTTATTCATAGTTTTTATAGTGTCACGGCCCGATTCGCTAGTTTCACGATTACGCAGTTCCGTATTTAGATCAATATAGGATTTTAACCAAGGCGATTGGGTAAATTTAACCCCGCGATGAATATTTTTTAAAATTAATCCGTGTTGCAGGCATTGTCTTAGCATTCTATAATGTAAAACGTATTTTTCCTTATGATTTAAATTTGGAATTAGTTTCTTATACTTTGACCTTGAATTTGGCGGAGTTATAGATTCTGGGCAATAGGGCATGTCATTTTGCAAATTGTGGAGGGCCTCAGGGTACAGTAGATCAACTTCTAAGACATACCCGATCGGTGACTCATCTGATATTTCGAAAACATTAAAATTTTGAATTTCTTCGGGTGTGAGCCAAACAAAGTCACTTTGTGGGAGAAATTGTGTTTGGGAATGACCATAAAGATTGCATGCATCCAGATAAATAATAAATGAGCTTGGTTTGGAAGGATCGTAATTGGGAAGAAATTTATTGTTAGCGATTGCTTTGCGTTTGGTGCACGTACTGACGCCGCCTCGAATACCACGTTTAAAAAAATGAAGCATGTCAATATCTGTCAGTAATTCTAATTCCACATCCGTCTTTTTTAACATAGCGTCCCAGCTAAGGCTAGGACCGGTCAGATATTGGGCAGCGTCAATTTCGTACTCGCGTAAACACACGCCTCTGTAGTTTTCAAATATATCGGCCAATAAAAGCACATCAGATTTTAAATAAATGTCCGAGTATTCGCCCAACGTCTGGCAATTAAATAAATTCCAAACTTCCTGAGCACGTCTGTATTCTTCATCGGTAATGTCCTGCTCGTGCAACATATCAAAGAAATCGCTTTTATTGGGGATCGTAGTTAGATTAAGCTTATCGTATGAGTCTACAAACGAATACGGAAAAACACCTTTTTGTCGAATTAATTCAAATTCACGTCCAGATCCAAAAAATTTTGTAATTTCAGTGCACTCGCTATCACTCAAATTTTTAGCAAGAACATTTAATGAACTGAACTGGCCAGAAAACGAAAACTATCGACGAAACGTATTCTCCATATTAGGTTTTTTGGAACTCCGTTCTCCACGATTTGATCTACTACAATATGCTTCGAAAAAGAAATATACTTTTCCTTATTTCCGGCAATAACGTCTATATTTTCATTCTCTAAAGCCAGGGATTTAACGAAAAGATGGCTGTCGTACCCGGTCAAATTGTGGAAAAATACAGGGATAAAATTTGGGGTTTGAAGCTGTAAATTACATATAGAATGACATAATCCGGCCCTGACGAAAGAAGTCTGATGGTCGTGGTCGATCACTTTTACATCTCCCTCAACAAAAGGTTTCTCACAAATCCCATAATTTGTGGCAAGATTAATTTTTCTCCGTTCCTCTTCTGTTAAAATTTGTAAAGGTTTACTTTGCTTAAAATGTTGATTGTATATGGTTAGAATATCATTCTCTAGTATATTTATAAACTGCACTGGAGCATTGGCACCTCGATAAATTTGAAACTTTGAAAATTTATCATCAAAAGAACATTTAATATAATACGCGAACGAATATGGTTCGTGCTCAAATGTTTTGGTAGTAAATTGAAGAAGAGGATTCGGTTGAGGTCCTTCTATGGGCTTAAGCAACGATTCGAAATCCTCATAGACAACAAACGGGTGTTTGATTTTATTTTGGTAATTATTAAATTTAAGTCGATTATCAAATGACGGCTGGCCCCACTTTGTCAAGATAGGTTCCTTTGCAGGCAAAAATGTACAAACATAATTACAATCGAATCTAGAATGGCGCCACAGGTTTTCCTGACTTGTAAAATATTGCAAGCATCCGTCACATAGATAAATAGCCTCTTTGTGCTTGGACACTTGCATGGAAATTAATCGCGACATATTAGAAATGTAGCAGTAGTGACTGTTGCCATCTAAATTAGACAAGTATAAAAGATTTACATGCACGGCTTTCTTTTGTTTGGTATAATGTAAAGGACCTACTACTTTATATGTCATTTTACCTTGTTTCTGTGTGTCCTCCTCTAAACCGTAAACGTTAATGGACAAGGGATTCATTTCTTCAAATTTTGATATCGCATCTAATTTTACCGGGAACGTTATTCCTTCAAAATTGAACTTTTCTAAATAGTCCGGATACGAATCCGGTTCGCAGGGATGTCCAGTTGGAGTATAAATAGCTGCAACTAGCGCCCATCCAAAACATCCGAAATCCTCGTTCTTTACATTAATAATGGCTCTTTTGCGTGAGATAAATGCAGGGGTCGGTATGAATGAAGAAGCTCGTAGCGGGTTATATTTATTAATGTTGACTTCCATATATAATCAGTGCTGAAGAGCCCATCCTAGAACAAATAATTATGTAAACATGGCATAAACAATTGGATATTAATACCTGACTCGCGATGTTCAAATTCCGTTGCGTCAACTTCCAGTTTTTCGATGATATCCTTAAACCATTCACTTAAGTCGGAACTTATCGTCAATACTTGGTTACGAGTATTAAAAGACTTAACTTCTCCTCGATCCTTCGATTCCAAAATAAAATAACCAAACAGCTCGCAGTTCACCTTAACGCTACCCATGATATCAATTTGCTCACGAACTAATTTTTTTATTACGTCAGCCAACGATTCGACAAATTCCTTCAGATTAATGTATTGTGTATTCGCTGATATTCTGTAGCTTACAATGCGAGATTTGAAGGCTGACGTAATTACTTGAACACCTTCAGTTGAAAACGCAAGGGAATTATTTTTATGTTTGACACTTCGCAAATGTCCAACATAATCTCGGCTTGAAACGTGCTCCGAACACACATCGCAAAATCTCTGGGTATCGTGTGCAACTTTGAGCTTCTTTGGAGATGGTTCTTGAGCTACGATTTAAACACTTTTTTTTGCAAGAGTAATAAAAATTCCTTACCTCTACATGACTTTTTGAGATGGCGTCGAAGATTGCTATTAGTAGCGAATGATTTATTACATTTTTCACACATAAATATTTTTGATTCCTATAAAATTGAGTCACAAATGAAATAATTTCGCAACTTTCTCACCTTATAAACGAACTTGATCTCCTTTTTTAAATAAGTAGTTGGTACACCGGCTTAACGATCCCCCAAAATCTGAACTCTTCAATATTTTTACTGGAAGCTCCTAGATAACAATAAATGACAAAAAAAAGTAACTCCACTCAATTACTTACCCTACGGATAACTGTTGGATGTCCGCTAATAACTTTGCTCTCCTTTCAATAAGGTGCTCCACTTGGCAATGGCACCACTGGAGATCGCAAAAATTGTTTTCCCGTTTAATAGATAAAATCTTAAAAAATCGAGAAAGTTGTTTTTCGGCGTCTATAAGTTGACGGTTAAGGCATTCAATGTCACCGAAGATTTCTTCAAGAAGCGAATAATCGAAATCTGGACAATTTAAATCTTTACAAATATCTTCTATTAACACGTTTTCTTGCACATCAGCTTCTTTCGCGGGCACGACTACAATGTTCTGCAATATTTTAATACGGGGCGAAGCACTCATGCTTACTGCAGCTGCTCGATATTTTTGCACTATATATGTATGGGGTTTAAACTAATTGATCAAGGAGCATGATTGAGCATTCCCTCTCTACAAATTATCTACCAATATCTCAAACTATTTGAAGATATCGACTGCCCATTAAAGATTTTTTTTCTTGGGATTCGTGCTCCTCCTAACGAATACACCTCTCGAAAAAGGTTTGGATTTCCCCATTCCATCGATATTCGCATATATAAGGTTCTTTGGTATAAATACAACTTCTTCAGTTAAAAAAATTCATAACATTTCGTTAACAAACATTTAGTTAATATGGAAACTCACGGTAAGTAGAACTTAAATCTTTTAGGCATCAAAGAAAGTAATTACTTATTTTCCTATCAGAAATCGAAATTTGGGATGTGGTTCCTTTCGAATTATGGATAGACCGGCCCGTAGATACCCCCAAGACGGTCATCGTGAAAAATTTTGAAGGAACACCCCTATTTGTGACAACGGTTCCCCCCACCGGCCCGCCTATCATAACATCATTTGGGCCGATCACATTCACCATGCGTGAAACCAATAATAATACACTGGAATTTTTTCTCATAAATACTTTTGAATAAAAACTTTCCGATTTCTATTACACTTTTTTACCTTTTAAGAATAAACCCTTGACCAAGCATTTCGTTTTAGAATAAAAGATAACAAACCTTACATCCATTCAGTAGTCATGTATAAAACGTTAATAATAATGGGTTAAGTATATAGTTTTGTCTTATAACAGGATTTACTTTGTAAAAGATTCACCAAGTTATGGGAAAAAAAACTCACATCATTCGAAAACTCTTCGATCTAGGCTTATAATTTTTTATTTAGTAAATTTATTCAGTTACGTAAAGTAATAAAGGAAAATAAATGAATCCCATTCAAAAATAGCTAAAGTGTGTGTATGGCTGCCAAGCGCCTGCAACCCTTAACGCGAACACGAAACAATAAATACGAGTGAAGTGAATGTTTCTGTCCATTTTTACGTTTTATGAGAAAGCTGTTTCATTCTAATTTAACTTAGAGACATCCAAAATTCGATTATTATTTTTATAATCAAACTCACACTCAAAACGAGATTTATTACAATAATAAATTGTAAATCCATTAACTTTTACGCGTATTTCAAGTCTGTTACTCATACACCGTCCATCATTCAGACGTGTTAAATCATGTGTAATTAAAATATTCGTAGTAATTTAGTGCAGTAATAAATTAGACATCCATTAACTTAATACAGTCGAACTATGACATCAAAATAATCATACGCGATTTATTCCATTAAGATTGAATACACATACGCATTGATTAAAAAATACCTACTTTACTATCTAAATAACCTAAAAAAAAGTTACACGGCACTTGATATTTGTATTTTATCTTTACCCATAAGTGTCCACTTAACTAAAATTTTATGATTCCTAAAAATCCGAAACAAATGTATTACGCTATTTCAGACCCTTATTGAACTGTATAAGGAATGAACGACAGTTTTACGATGGTTTTTTTCGCGTTTCGGATTACATTACAATTAATTGTATAAAATTCCCTATAAAATATGTAGACCACTTTTGCTGTGATCGATAGATGAAATGAAATGCTACTTCCACTTAAATACGTATCCGCGAATTTGTATTTATCACAACACCTAATTATGGGTGATTTTGCTTTACGTAAAACGGATTGGCTTGATTACGTTTATTGCTTAATGTGATTCGAAGTTTATAGACCACGATTCATTTTTGCTTATTTATTATATTTAGATCCAGGTTTTTTTTCCCTATTAATTATAGGCATCCATTAAGCACTTGTTTACTTTAAATTAAATTATTATCACTTTATAGAGGAAGACATATTTGGGCATGTAATAAATTGTAAATGCATTAAGTTTTACGCGTTATGTTCCATTAATTGGTAACACTTTTTTTCCTGTATGTAAAACGCATTAAACTTACTAAACTACATAAATTACCTCAGATTCCCTGCGATAATTTAACTACATCAAACCCAAATTATTATAACAGCGCTCGGGCAAACTGTCATTTAATGACAAGCACGGTCTACAGAAAATGTTTCTGGCCAGTTAATACTGAATAGATTTCAAAAAATTAAGGACCAGTTAAACGAATGCACTGTAATTTACTCCGGCGAAATTTTGCTAAATTTTTGTTTAACAGGGTAGCACACTCATGAACGTTGATGTTTTTTCAACTTCATTTTAAAGTGGAATACCCGAGCGCTGTTCAGGAAATTGGGTATTTTGAATATACTGAAACACGACTTCTTTGAATCTTCATAATTTATTACACACTTAAATGAGATTACTAAGAATTAAATTTATGAACTTTTCCTTGTTCGAAATACAATTAATTTATGAGATCTTTCAGGCTCTTTGCGTCTTGATAATTAGTTACGTAAAATGTTTCTTTTTTGCGTTACGAGTTTACGACTAAAGACGAGATCACGGACGGCCTAAATGGACACCCGTAAGTCACAGAGGATCCGTTTACCTAACTAAGCAAACACGGCTCATTTGTGACCCCATCAATTAAGATAAGATCAAGGACGGCTCAAATGAATCCCCGTACGTTAAGGAAGGATCATTTGAGACCCCAATGGGTTGTAACTAGGTCATCCAGGATTCTCTGAGACCCCACTCGCATTTTAAAAGTAGGTCAGAGGATTCATTGAATCCCCATAGGATTCTGATCAGGATCTGCGCATCCCCATCCATATAGAGCCCATATGCGCGGAACCCAAGGTCAAAGAGGATCTGCGCACCCCCATTCTTTCCCTACTTGTCGATATTTTTCTTGACCAATATTGTGGCCTTGAGCATTGAGTACAAGGACCACAGCGAAGAAGGTGAAAACCCTTGCTGTTTCTCTTCAAAATAAGCGAGCATGACATTTTCAGTGTATTCTTGTACAGTTTTACTTGCACACCATTTTTTAAATTCTTCATACCGCTTGTTATATAAATTTTTCGACTTCGTGGGTAAAAGGCTCTCGACTGCTCGTGCAGCTGCCATCTTTATTCTTTATGCCAAGAGGTTCCTTACATTTATTCTCAGTCATGTTTCTTGCTTACTTAAATCACGAAATGCAAAATGGTTCGTTTTATTTACACCTATTACCTTGGTTACCTAACCAAGCTTACTAATGCTTTTTTTAATAGGTCAATTTCTTTAGGTTCAGTTGAATTGCTGGAAGTTTTTAGTTATCCGGGAGGGCAAAAAATTGCGTATATACCACAGGACTAAAGTGCGATCTAATCCCTCAAGTGGTTATTGCCCTCGCTAACGCTCGGGCAATAATTTCCACTCTCGGGATTAAATCTTGCACTTTAGTCCCTTGCTATATAATATACTATTCTCGCCCCGTTTTGAGGGTCGAAAGCTGCACTTTTCCTCCCTAAGGGACTTTTTTCCTCCCTCAACTCCATATATACGTAAGCTTATAAGTAAACAAAATACCCTTCAATTACAACTAACTTTATTTATATGTACTTGTTATTCTCAGTGCTAGTAGAAGAACCAAAGTTAAAGGTGCAATTAGTAACATTGTTGAAAGTAATGTTACCAGAAAAAGGCGAGGAAGATTGATTAACATTGAAACCTGTACTTTCAATGTTTGTAGAGTTCATTTGATGTTCTCCAGAAACTTTTGTGGAGGGCATTTCGCATATAATTTGGTTAGAAACTTTACTTTTTTTTACAATTGATTCTTCTAAATAGCCCTCGGCTACGTTGGTAGAGCGCCATTCTCCGTGTCTCTTTAAACTTAATAAATCTCCTCCAGCATCAACCAACAAAGATGCGGAGGTGCGCCGAAAACTATGCCCAGTGTAACCTTCTGCATCTGGTAGCTCGAGGTACTTTGCAATTTTATATGGTATTTTGGCAATTGTATTTTTCCCTATGACTTGGATGGTGCATTTCCCTTTTACGTAATTAACAAAAAATCTTGTATGTTCAGTTTTAACAGAGCGTAATGAAACATATTTTCTATTATAAATTCCATGTACACTTGTTCCATTAATGGTTTCGTTAGTGATTACAAATGTTCTTTGCATTTTTGTTTTGCTATCGGGTATTTTCACAACTAATATGTCTCCATTATCCTGAATATCATGCAATGACAATTTAATTAGCTCATCGCAACGGCAAGCTCCGGCAAGTCCAATAATTAAAGCAACCTACGAACAAAATATAGCGTTCATAATGTAGGTATCAAATTCAAATCATCTCATAATTACCTTCATTTGCAAGTAATAGTCATCGGGCGCCTCCGAAAGAAATCTGTTTATGTCATTCCTACAGAAAATTTTACCTTTCTTTGGTTTATACCCATTTCCTTGACGTTTAAGCAAAGCTATGACTTTTGCATACTTAATGTCAACGTTGTCGTTTATAAGTAATGTGGTACCATTGAATTATTATTCAATGGTGGTACGTAACATTGAATATTTACTCCACATCGTCGATGGTTTAAGCGTTTTAGAATGATGTGCAAAATATGCTAAGATTACCTCTTCA